ATAGCTCTGACACTACCGTTTAGCCCCCCCCCACCGAGTGTGAGGTAAGGGTTGGACTTTGAGGGCTTACGGTTAAATCACGCTGAAACACCGGTTCTCGTTTGATCACCGAAGTTAAGCATCGTAGAGCCAGGTCAGTACTTAGATGGGGGACCGCTTGGGATATATATATATATATATATATATATATATATATATATATATATATATATATATATATATATATTCATATATATATATATATATATATATGAAAAATAATACAGTTATAAAACTATGCAAATTCAATATTTATAAAGAAATAAATATGAAAAAATTTTACTCATAAATTTATAAATCTTTACTAAATTATTAAAATATATGCACTAAATATAAGTAAATATTTATAACCATTTTAAAAAGTTTTAAAATATTGACCAATGTTTTGCCACTCTTTGTAATAAACAATCAATTAAATAGATACTCTAAATAAAGAATTTAATAAATAAACAATGTTTATTATGATTGTTATCAATTCTCAAGAACGAAGAGAATGAAGAAATTCATTTTCACATGTTTAGAGTTTATTTAAATTATAATAATCGCTTTTTAAAATACAAAACACTACTGAGGAGAAAAGGTCGGTAAAATAATATAAGATACAATGTCTAGGGAGAAAACAGTCTTTTAGCCAGAACTTTTTATCTTCTTATTGCCTACAAAATATTCTCCCTTCTTACAAATGAAGGTTAATTCTTCCTTTCATCTTAATTTTCGTAGATTTGTAGGGGTCACATTTAGATTTTTTTTCTGTCAGCTAAATCTAGGGAGTTTTTTCTTACCACAGCCAGATTAATTTATGTACGATTCGCTTAGTATAGATTCTCGCCTTCTTTCCTCTGCCCTGATTATTTAAAAGAAATAAAATTTGTGCATTGCAATTTGATTTTGTTGTAAAAATAAGTGTGATCCCACCCTCTACTGATCTATATCGCGGAAAACCGGATTCCTTGTTATAGATTCCATGTATTACGTTGACAGATATGCACTGTTAAGAAACCAACTGACTGAACATCGAATATTTCAAAATATAATGCCGTCCCATTTCTAATCCTCACAGGGTGAACTCAGGATGTTTCAATCATAAATATGTTGGCTTTATTTTGTTTTGTTCTTTTTATGCTGAAATCTCTACAAGACGATCTATAGAGTAGAAGTTCCACTGATTAAATTCTTCCAAGAGATGATGGTAGACGATTTTCAAGTTCTTCAAGCGTCTCTTGTGTACGACTCTAAGATTCAGAACCAAAGATGAGAATAAACAGCATCATGGCTCTATACAATTGTTGGATGAAACGTTCATAGGCTGACATTCATGGAATTACTCTAGACGGTGAAACCTTGCTTGTATTAATTTCAAATCTTCTTCAGAAATACCTTGTTTCTTTTCATCGACTGTTCAGAGAAGACTTCACCTGTAACATTAAGTGATCTATGTTGAGAATGGAGAACATTAGGCATCCTTGTATTATCAAATTCCTGTAGAAAAAAAAACAAAAAAACGCTTTAGCCAACATGGGCATTCATTCTGACATAGTTCCTAAATTCGAGGATGACACGTAGGTTTATCAACAGTTCAAATTGGACAGCTTAATTTGGGAAAGAAGGGAGAGTTTTGATGAAGACCCAAGATTTGAACGTCATGTAATTGCCACAACGAACATAAACCTGTTTATTACATACTTATGGATGACAGGTGATTGCCATAAATTCAAGGAGTCAATGCTTTTGGGATATCCCGTGGCAGAGGTGAAAATATCCTGAACAGTGAACTTAGCATGACGAAGATGTTGATGTTCAAGTTAAAGTATGCATTTCATTTAATTTAAATTTAATTCCATGGTAGAGGGTTTCCTTGTCCCACTTAATACAAGAGTAAAGCCGTTTCGAGTGCCAACTCCTGTAGAGCCACACATGGCACTAATTTCACAGAAGACTAGACAGAGCGCGACCAAACCCGAAGATCCCACCGGAGGAATATGCCAAGATCTACATAATCTCAACGGAAGTAAGCAGCGTCAGTTGGGCTGGCGTAAGCAAGGCAGATCTTGACTGACCAAGCATCCGACAACCTGATGCAACCAGATTTGTCAGATCTCGCCTGTCTCAATCCCGTGTGAGCCAGATTTGTACAACGCGAATGAATTCGTCAAACTCTTTTTGCTTCTTTCAAATTATCTGTCTTATTCATGGCTTGACTTGGTTTGTTTTACAAACTTATGGATGACAGGTGATTTCCTACAAATCAGGGAGTCAATGCTATTAGGATATCCAGTTGGAGAGTTGAAAATATTCTGCACAATGAACTTGGCTTGACGAAGATTATTGCTCCGTGAGGGACATCTCCTCTCAAACCTCTTAAATAACACACAGGCTGACCACTTCACAGGAAAATTGGACTTTGTTTGAGGCAGATCCAGCTGGTTACGTTGGATGTTTACTAACCCAGAATGTGTGTTTCCCCCATCACTTTGAGACAGAGACAAAAAACATTCTACGGAGAAGAAAGCTCCCCCACAGCTGCTCTACAGAAGGCCATGGTTGTTTCATCAGCACAGAAGCTAATGTCCTCAGTTTTTGGGATGCAAAAGGCATTGGCTTTATAAACCATATTCAGAAGGGCCATAATATTAATGGTAAGTACTATGTCATCTGGCTGAGGCAGTTCCGAAAGATTACCAAAAGCAAACGCACAGGAAAACTAAAGAAATGTGTCTTGCGTCATCAGGAAAATGCCCCAGTACACAAGTCATTGTAAACAATGTCTCCTCTGAGTGGATGTGGCGTTGAACTGTTTGACCATTTTCCCTATTCTTCTGATTTTGCTATAATCAGTTTCGCACCAAAATAATCTCTTGGCTGGGAACCAATATCATAGTGATGATGACTCTATATCTGCTCTTGATGATTTTTATGAAGAGCAGAATGAACAGCCTTCTTCGCACAATCCTTTGGAATAAACCAATGTAGGTATTAATAAGAACAGTGGAAATTAATGCATTTCACAGCTTTGTTTTCACTCCTACTTAGGGAGCCTATGAAGTTTGAATAACTCCTTAATTTACTACATATTTATTACAATGTGTTTGTCTAGACACACTTATGAAATCTACCTATATATTGGTCTGCCTGTTCAGAAATATTTTAAACTTTATCATATGATAAAATATTGATTAAATAAGGTCGGACTATTATTTTGACATAGATTTCAATTTACTGAATGTTTGTTACATAATTAAGACTTATCCTGGGTAAAAAGATAAACTACATCCGACAGCAAGGCCTTTGATCATAAGGTATTGAGGAGCGTGGAACCAATTCTTAATTGCTGGAGTTCCAAGGTACACTCTGACCCTGGGAGGTAGCACCTATCAGAGTCCCAGCTATGGGCAAATAGTTACTTCAACAAAAAAAAAATGACATCAAAACACTCTGAAATTTCAAATTTTGTTTTTACAACCAACAATATATTTTTGGTAAACTTATTACCAATAGCATATTTTTGAAAAAAAATCTTGCCAGCGATATATTTTTGGGAAAAAAAAATATTACCAGCAATAAAAAAATAAACTTCTCGGTATTAAATTACCCACTGAGGTTGATATGACGTAAAACAAACCAAACCAAGCCATGAATAAGACAGATAATTTGAAAGAAGCAAAAAGAGTTTGACGAATTCATTCGCGTGTACAAATCTGGCTCACACGGGATTGAGACAGGCGAGATCTGACAAATCTCGTTGCATCAGGTTGTCGGATGCTTGGTCAGTCAAGATCTGCCTTGCTTACGCCAGCCCAACTGACGCTGCTTACTTCCATTGAGATTATGTAGATCTTGGCATATTCCTCCGGTGGGATCTTCGGGTTTGGTCGCGCTCTGTCTAGTCTTCTGTGAAATTAGCGCCATGTGTGGCCCTACAGGAGTTGGCACTCGAAACGGCTTTGCTCTTGTATTAAGTGGGACAAGGAAACCCCCTACCATGGAATTAAATTTAAATTAAATGAAATGCATACTTTAACTTGAACATCAACATCTTCGTCATGCTAAGTACATTGTTCATTATATTTTCACCTCTGCTACGGGATATCCCAAAAGCATTGACACCTTGATTTGTAGGCAATCACCTGTCAACCATAAATATGTAATAAACAGGTTTATGTTCGTTGTGGCAATTACATGACGTTCAAACCTTGGGTCTTCATCAAGACTCTCCCTTCTTTCCCAAATTAAGCTGTCCACTTTTGCAATGTTGATATGTACCTGCTCGACCTACTGCTGCTGACAACTTTTATATTGAATTGATATCTCTATTTCTAGTGAATTTTTAACTGTCTATAAAATGAAGGCTTTCTTTTTTACTACTGCCTGCAAATTTTACAATTTAATAACAAATGAATTTTTCAGTTTTTTTTTTTTTGTCTGTGTCATCAGATATATAACATTTTGACAAAACTGTGTTTCTCTTTTCTTCTTTGATTAATGTTTACAAACACACACACAGAGATTCATTTAGAAGTATTTGTGACGGTAAATAGCTTGTGGAGGAGGATTGCACAATAAACATTAATTACAATAATAATAATAGTAATAATACTAATAATAATAATCTTTGTTAATTGTCGTTTTTTATATTATTGTTTATAGTCTGTCGACATTATTTAAAATGATGGTTATATCAGAAAAACAAGTACAAACAATAATCACTGATACAACAGGGTGCCTGCCATTTTATTCAATGTAATAGGAAAAAAGTTGAGATAAAATCGTCGTTAATATCTATGTGAAAATAAACCAATTTAAAAAAAGGCAAAACAACACACACACAAAGGAAATCCATGATAACAATGTGGCATATATTTGATAAGCAAAAAGAGTGAATAATGACAAGTTATGATTTCATTTTACTCCAATGTAGACACAATTTGTCTACTTCTTTCAAACTTGCTTTTATCTTTGTTATGATGGATAGTATTTTTAGTTTTTGCTTTTATTCGCGCTTCACTTTTCCTTTTTTCTTTCTTTTTCTTGTTTTTCTTGTTTATTGGTTGTTCTTTTTTGCTGTTTCTAACTTTTTGAATTTTCGCTCATCCCTTGTAAATTCCTGTCTAATTTTTAATCTTTGAATATATTTTGTTTCATAGTTACTTATTTCGTATTCTCCCATACTTACTTTTTCTTTTTTACAAGTCTTTTTCATTCTTTACTTTTTCATTTTTTGTTACTTTTTCCACCTTTTTTTACGTTTTATCTTCTCACTTCTTCCTTCCGTTCTGCATTTTGAATTTTCTATTTTTCTTTTCTTTCTTTCACTTTATATTTCTTGAAATTTATTTCTTATTTCTTTCCAATTATACGGTGCCTATTTTTCTTTCTTTCCTTATATATTCTCTTACCTTTTAGCGTATATTTTCCTTTTCAAATTTTCCTTTGTTCTTTCTTTGTTTCTTTCTTTCTTTTTTCATTCGTTCTCTTTCCTGTTACAGTTCTTATTCATTTTCAATTCTTTCTTTCTTGCTTGCTTACTTTAAGTTTATTTTAGTTTCATATTTACTTCTTTCTAATTCTCCCTATCGTATATTTTCTTTTCTCACGTCTTTTGCTTTTTTTCGTTTGACTTCTCTTTCTTTTTTTTATTTTATATTTCTATTCCCCACTTTTGTACGTTTCTCTTCTCACTTCTTTTTTTCTTCCGTTTTACCATTTCATTTTGCCTTTTCTTTTCATTTCTTTATTTTCGATTTCTTACCCTTTTTTTTTTCTTTCTATTTGTTTCTCATTTCTTTCCAATTCTTTCATGGTTATTTTTTCTATTTCTGGCTTCTTTCTTTCTTTAACTTAAATGTAATAATTGCCGAACAACTTATGTTAGTAAAACCAAATCCTCACCTGAGGAATTTAGCAAAATCAAAGATCTCAGCCTATAAAATTAAATCTATTCAGCAAAATACTCATCATAAGGATTTAAAATATTCCATTTCCCTGATGCTTCCATTTCATGAAAAATAACTTGGAATTGATTGAATTTTTGTCTTAAGGAGAATTACCATCACGATAACGGCAAACAAATCCATATTTTTTTACGTGAAAAATGAGAACTATTAGTTGTGTTAGATGTTGTTGTCATCATTACAAGATGTCAAGTGTTAATAGTAGATAGCAGTTTTATAGTATTTATGTCCGCATTTCTTGTTTTGTGTTATAAAAATGTTTGGCTGTTTCGCCCTCAGGCTCAATAGGTCTGGGTAAACTTCAGGCAATTTCGAACTGAACATTTTATTTAATCTCTTGGAGTAGGTTCATGTGATAACACGTTTATTTTTTAATTTTTTAATACTTCTTAATTTTGGTCCTGTTTTCCATTATTTACGTTTGTACTTCCAGCGTGAAGGCCAAAAGCGTTCACGAATCAATGTTTCATGTCTGAAAACTAATTTTCTTATTGCCTTCTTTGTTTTATTGTTTGTTGTTACGTATGTGTCACTCTGTCACCGCTTTGGTTTCTTACGTCTCCTGCTGAAACATTACTGTGAAGATTGACGATCTTCACAGTCATTTCGTTTTTCTTCCTTAGTAAGTAGAAGCTAAATTCTGAATTCAGATCTCATCAAAATACTGACAGTTGATGATCACTTCGAATAGAAATAAAAGATATAAGACGATCGTAACAATATGAGATATGCAGATGAGAGTGTTAATAACAGATGCAGAAAGGAAAGTGCAGAAACTCATAAGGAATCTAAGCAAGAAGAAAGGACTAACTATCAAGTGTAAGAAAAAAGAATGTGTGCTCATCATTAAGAGTATCAGACAAACTTGCTAATTACAAAATGGAGAAACCAATATCGGCGATAAAAAAAAAAATTAAACGGGTAAAAATTTAAATATACAAGTTTAAGCGTGTTGCTCGATAGGCATCTCGGTTCCAAACTTCTCCGTTAAAAGAGTTAACTGTAAAAATCTCTTCTACTACAAAAGGTTCTTCTTTCGCAATTCCTGGCAGTGGCTCTCCCTTCCTCCTAATTGATTCCCTGATAGCCATTACCTTCAAATATTCAAATGTAATGTCAATCGACATCTTCTGATGCCTTAATCTTGATCCTCGTCCTTTTCTTTATCATTTCCTCAAATTCTTGCTATGACACTGTGTAGCCCCTTGCATGCTAGTGCCACGCCTCATTTGCTTGGGATGAAATGCTGAAAAAATATGTGTTTTAACATATGATGGAAAATATGACACCGAAACACAATGTCGGATTGAAATAGTGAAAATGTCTTCGAAAAGCTAAGCAAATATTAAGAAACATAAAATATGTCATTGGAACAAAAGACAAATATATCGAACTGTTATGTAATAGGGCTCACTTTGATGTCAGCGAATGCTGGACAAATAGGGAGAAAAGACTTGACACAAGGAAAATTAGATTCTACAGAAAGATGCTGAGAATACCCTGGGATTAACAGTTAAAAAAAAAATGCAGTTTTACAGAAAAGGAAACTGTTGAGGTGCTCTCTCCTTTTTACACAAATGGACTCACCCAGTATATACATATACTACTGCTACCTGAAGACCCGACGAGAGCATCAGAGGGTGAAGGAAACAGACAGATAGAACGAACGTAGCAAGCAAGAATCCCCGAGAGCGAGCACGTAGACTCAGTAAGAAGTCATACAGCGATACTTCAATACCAAAGACTGTATATATATTTTGCTACTTACCCGTATTCCTGGAACTACTAACCTGCATTTGTATTATTACGTTAATACATTATTTCCTTATATTCATTCTTGGCGTTTGTTATTTATTCGTACCGGATTTCATTCCGGAATCCACAACAGAAAGAAAAATACATACGTATCATCAAAAAGATACAGCTGAAATTTCTAGGGAATACATGGGTTGGAAAATTTGACACCTACATGAGAAATTAAAGTTAAAAGCGGATAGAGTAATATGGTACAAATCCAACCTAACGATCTTGTATGATGGTTGGAAAATCAGGGATTAAGAGATATAGCCAAAATTTATTAAGTGCTACATAGGACAGAACCTTTTAGAAATCCATGGTTATTTTCAATATGGCCATGGCCTGGTAGTGATATTCGGGTAGATAGCGAGGTCAAATTCTGGCTTATGGTTTTCGGATTCGAATAAATGACCTAAGCAAAAGCTTGTGTCCTTTTTTTACTGATAAAACAGAAAAACCGAAATCGTACGAGTTAACAATACTAGCTTGGCAGCCAGTTTAGTTAATGCCCAAATCTGCATTTAAAATTGATTAATCTAACAGGAAACCACTCAGCTAAATTTTTATCATTGATAACAATGAAAATCCGATTACGTAAAGAATAACATTGGAAAACGTCTTGGAAATCAGTCTCCCTTTTCAATCCCGCCTGTCAAACAACGATTATTTTCCATATCTACAAAACAGTTTGATGTGGAAAATTTACACTAATAAATAACAAATTGTAGAGTGTAAAACCTTCTCACATTAAAACCTGTGTGAATTTACTCAAAAGTATTTGAAGTGCCAATAATAGATTACAAGAAAGGGTGAATATATATATATATATATATATATATATATATATATATATATATATATATATAGGTGAATGAAATGTATTAGTACTTTATGTTTTGAAAAATATACGTAACAAACAAAAAAAAGATATAATATTTCTTGCTCAAACTAATATTTTGAACAACGATTTCGACAAACATAATTATTGCAATTCTAAAAATGGTTCCCATGAGAATCGCACATGAAGAGTACGCTGACGTTCTTAATTGTCATATAATACATTTCCTGAGGGCGTGAACTTGATTAAGACCAAAATGAGTATGCAAAAACGTTAGACGAATGTTTGATGACGGGCCTACGAAAACAGTACAAACATCAGCTTAAATAAATGAAAAAAAAAAGAAGATGGCTAACTCAAATGAAGCCAGAGATATAATGAGGAATGAATAGAATACGTAAACGAAAGCATCGGAAAAAAATAATGCTAAACATGAAAATGCCAAACAAACTTTGTTTAAGCTTTGAAAATTCTTCAGCATCTTTGGAACGATGCCAGTTTAGATGGTCAAAGGTGAGGTCAGAAGCATTCCATCAAACGGAAGAAAAGATGTAGAAGTTAGTGTCAATGAATTAGAGAAAAAATAACAAAACATGGTGGAAGGCATGATGTGTATTAATACTATCGTCCATTCCCGCTCGGCAGTAAAGAACCGGCATTCGTAAACAAATCAAGCCAGGACAAGCAAGCAAAGGCCCGTCCGCGAGCAACATTTTATTCCCATCGGTCTAATTAATTGCTCAACTATTGTAATATTTGATCACTTATTTACGTGAATATTTGTTTAGAACAGGGACGTGGCTGATAATATTATTTCGAAATTTTCCCTCAGTTTTGGCTAAAGCGGGTGATGATAAACCAGATAATTTTTGACAGGAGTCATTTTTTAAAACATATTCCCAGATATAACACCATAGGATTTTTTTCTATTTCGTTTTGAACAATAATGTTCTGTAAGGAAATACTACATTAAATTTATGAATTATACAAGTTCATTCTTTGTACAATAGTCAATAAATATGTGTTACATTTAAAGCGGGACATCATGAAATTCATGAATGAAAAATATCAACGAGGATGACTAGAAACAAAATACAAATATATATATATATATATATATATATATATATATATATATATATGTGTGTGTGTGTGTGTGTGTGTGTGTGTGTGTGTGTGTGTGTGTGTGAAAATTTGTATGTATTTTAATGAAAATTTCTTATGATATTTTAACACAAAATTTATTATACATATATATATAAAAATTTATTTATAGAATATATATATATATATATATATATATATATATATATATATATATATATATATATATATATATATATATATATATATATATATATATATATATATATATATAATTTTTGTGTAGCGAGGTATGATATTGCATAATAAAAATATTATAAATATATATATATATATATATATATATATATATATATATATATATATATGTGTGTGTGTGTGTGTGTGTGTATGTGTGTATGTATGTATATAATATTTTGTTTATAAAATATTATACAACCCTACAGAAATAATTCTGTTTCAGAACTTAAAATCCGTCCATGATCAGGCGATGTTTGGTAACTTATGATGAAAATGATTTATGTAGCTTATTTGAGAGTTAAATAGGAGAGGAAAAATATTTCATAATTTTGTGGGTATGTCTGGTTTAACCAATCAAAAGAAGAAAATCTATAGTAGAAAAGAGAAAAATTTGATTGGTAGTTATTGTAAGGTAGTTTATTGATTCATATCTAGATGAATTGACATTTTTAAAGCGACCTCACCCGAGACTACCTCAATTTACGATTATAAAATGTTGATGTAGCGAAGTAGATAGAGATATAAATTAAAAAAAAATGTTAATTCTAAAGAATTTCAAGTTTTAAAAATAAATAATATACTTGAGAACTACCGTAAAGGGAACTGCATCGTGATTAAATCATTTATACACATATTATTTTGAACCCAAAATACAATATTTATTATATTGTATGGGCAATAAAAATGGCATTATTGAATATCAAAGAATTAAATAAATATTATATTGACCAAATATCGGATATATAATTGTAATGCATAATTTTTTTATGAAACATTCTATTAATTATATTTTAAATTAAATATTCAATGCCTATAATTTTTATTTGATTCATTTAGGAGATCATTATATTTAGGAAATTTAATAATATGCAGTTTTTTCAGGTAGACACGTGTGGCATGGTTCATTTATGGACCTACAACCTCTTGTTTTATAGTATTCTCTATTTTACGGTGAGTGTGTTTCTTGATTTCTTTTAAATGTCAAAAATATTTGGTGAGGGATGTTCGGTTAAGGTACGCATTGTCGGTAAAAGAAGATAGATGTTGATACCACCGTTGTTTGAAAGGGTTTTCTTTTCTGCTACCAATATAAAATTTCTTAACAACCGTATTTTCAGAAGAGGAAATGGTTCATTGGTAAACAATAGATTATGTACCACTTCTATTTTGCCATGGACAATATATGGGATCTCTAGAATTACATAATTTATTATCAATATTATTAATTTCTACTTTGGAATTACCATTGTTACTTAGGTTTAAGAGTTTATTCTAAATTTCATTATGTTTTTTTAATATTTTTTCTAGATTATCAGCACAACTGTAACTTAATTTCATTATCTCCAATTTAGACCCGCACTTGGATGGTGGTGGAGACGGGATACCATGTCTTGAAGAAATGCGCGCCTGAACAAGCGCCCGCCCTCTCTAAACTATATAATTACTGCCTCAAGGAATCCTGTTTACCTGACTGCTGGAAGTTCTCATCCATTGTTCCTGTCTGTAATAATTCTAGAGACCCCTCTGACCCGTCTAATTACCGTTCTATTAGTCTCCTACCCCTTTTCGACAAAGTCTTCGAAGCCCTAATCAACGCCAGGGTGGTTAACCACCTTACTTCACACGACCTACTCTCATACAAGCAATATGGTTTCCGCTACGCCAGATCTACAGCTGATGTGCTTTCGGCCATCACTGAAACCGTCTACCAAGCCCTTCAAAATAACGGTGAGGCCCGTGCCGTGGCGCTAGACATCTCCAAAGCGTTTGATAGGTTTTGGCATGCCGGCCTTCTTCGCAAACTCCAGGGTTATGGTATTATAGGTCGATTGTTTGACCTAATACAATCATTCCTGTCAAACTGTGAATTAAATTATCCAATAAGGATTACAAATTTCTACCTGTTACATATACACAGTCACCAAAAACAAACAAATAATCAGCTTTAAATATAACATATAAACCCCCATTTTTTTTCAAAAGTTTAAAAATAAATATAAATAATAATGATTTTTAACTATCATAATTTTACACAAAACCCACCACACGCATATACATACATGCGAGGAAATATTTTTCAGCGCGAAAACTCTTAATATGACATGTATACAGTAACGAGACATTTCCGCCACACATCGAGTGTTTAAATTTCAACATTTCAACATACAAATGCGTATGTATAGATATAACACCACCCGTATACATACATACATATGTCATATCCGAAACTGCCCACATATGTTTATATATATGTATGAGTCCCGACGGACGACCAAGTATGTATATGTGTCTGCATACATCGATGTTTGCGTTAGTACGATGAATGACAAAACGACGAAATTTCCCCACCACTTCCACAATAACACCAATACACGCAATCTACATAAACCCAAATTTTTAAAACATTAATCAGTTTGTCTGACGATCGCTAAAGCGTGAAACCCAGGGTCACAAACTCACAAATATATATATATATATATATATATATATATATATATATATATATATATTTATATATATATATATATATATAAATGCATACACACACACACACACACACACACACACATATATATATATATATATATATATATATATATATATATATATAGATAGATAGATAGATAAATAGATAGAAATATAAATATTTATGTTGAATAAATTTTAAAGTAAGCTATTAGCTTAAAATATGTAGTAATCCGGGGAGGGGTAATACCAAAGTCGGCTGAGCCTAAACATTATATAACAAAATTATCAATACGAAGAGTCCCTAATCAGGAAAATACAATACCTAGGCGGAACTATTTGTCTTTATTCGGTTATCTCCATCCTGGCTATGAGCAATAAATTACATCCAGTAGTAAGGATCGGGAGATTGGAGGTTTTCAGGAGCGTGAAACCACTTACTAATTGTTGTTTTTCTAACGTCCACCCTAATCCAGGTTGGCAGCATCTGGTAGAGTCGTAGGCATATGTGAATATGAATCTCCTATCTAAAATTGAAACTGTGAAGATACGAAAATTCTTTTTTTTTTAGTAAAGATACCAATAATACATGTTTATAAAAATAAATCAGCAGCACATTTTTGTTTTGAAATTACCAGCAATAAATTCTTATTGTAAAATATGATTATTTGTTAAAATAAATCAGCTAAGCAATTATAATTTAATCGTGAAAAGATGTAATTCGCTTGAATTAATTAGAATGTTTGAATTTTCCTATTTGGATTTCAGAATCAGATGGCACCTACATGTTGATTTGGCGCTAAACAAAAACGACAAAACCAATTATGTCATCTGTTCGTAAAATTTAATTAAGTTGTTTACTCTTTGCTTCGCCCCGTTTCACTAGCCTTTATTGACGTATGGTATTTTTGTCGTGAATGAATTTTGCCCAAGATATTATTATCAATTGACATAGATAATGGAAGCAAATTAAAAATGTTAGAAAAGCATATGTGGGTCGAATACTTTTGCATAAAGCCTTATGTAATATTTTTTATTAAGAACAATTATATAATAATAGAATAATGTTTCTGATAGTAATAGGCAAATATTCACAATATTTTAAGTTGCATTTAACAAATTGAAGGAATTGCGATTTTACGGGGTCCATTTTAACTCATTGAATTGCTTCAGATTGGAGGTTAACTGGAATAGTTATTTCCCTTGTTTTCTCTTCGGCGGAATGCTTTGCTTAATGATGTTAGATGATTGATACTAAATTACAATGAATCTTCTTTTCAAGACCCTAAGGAAATTTTAGGTGTATCAATGAAATTTATTGCTTTTATTTGCTGGCTTTACGAAAATGTCAAACCCAAGAAAAAGAGCATTAAAATAATGTACTGAAAGTGAGGATGGTTATATTAGAACAATTAAAGTTTTTGTTTTTACCAAAGAGGTAAATACGGATTCCTTCGAAGACGCTAAAATGATAAAAACTGCAGAACATTTACAGAATTTACATACAAACTTACATACCGTGGAAATTGTGTTCATGTGTTTATGTTGCACAGGAAGAAAATTGATATTCTTTAAATGCTGTATATAACACTGATTTGCAATATATATATATATATATATATATATATATATATATATATATATATATATATATATATATATATATATAGGCAAGCATAGCAAGAAATATTTTTTTTTTTGGTATGGTGAATTCAACAGTTTTGCTCTATCACCTCTAGTCGTTTGCTTTCCCATATAATATTTTTTATTACAGTGGACATATTTCTTTTTCTTCGTTTTATTTATTACAAAAACATATTACAGAAAAAAAAAAAACGTATAGTTACAGAACATTGATGAAATAAATGTAATTGCATAATAACATATATATATATATATACATCATAGTAGAGTAGATAGTCAGAAGTATGTTCTCTATTTTGACTCCGGTATACCGCGCAGTAGAATCCAGCGAAACTCCACGCCTCTATTTACAATTGCTTTGGTAGATTCTCTCCATCTTAGTAATATCTTGGTATAACCTTTCTCCATGTTTATCTCTCACTGCACTCGAGTTACTAGATAAGAAGTTAAGGCGCAAATAGTGATATAACATTTTTGGTGATATTTGGCGTCCCATATCCTCACAAGCCTGGAAGAAATTCTTGACACCCTCTTGGTACCCTGGTCCCTCTGTGTTACCCAGAAAGGCATGATAGATTGACTTAAATGCTTCCCTAAATCTCAGGTCATTTAATGTAACAAGCTCCTCAAATACCTTATCTTTCTCGGATCTGAGGAATGACAAATATATCATCTTTGAGCTTAGCAGAACTGATAGGTGGGAATAGAGTCCATAGGAGTTGGGAGGTAGCGTTTGCTTTTCAACGGACTTAACAAAGTTCTTCCTACTCCAAGCCTGATACAAAGAGGATGAAGATACGCTCTCTTCATGCCCAACAGTGGATTTTTACATTATTCTCACTAGACACGAAAATGCTCCTAGACACCCAGTCCTTCTGCTTGTAGTGCTCAAAGACAGCACGACAGCCCCAGAGATACAGAAAGCAACAGCATTTTCTAACGCAGTCTTACATATACACGAAGGGCTCAATGATATTGAGGTCCAAACAGAGACTCCATCCACTGGTACTGTTTTTTACTTGACTGATTGCAGAAGTCAGGCCTTATTTCATCATATAAAGCGGACAATAGAAATGCCGGGGTATTTATTCACCTTGTAAAGGAGAAGAGCCTTCAGACATCGCTTAGAAGTGTTTATGAAAATACACCAATCTGTCGGAATCCAATAAAAATGAACAAAACCGGAGATATTTGTGCAGCAGCAAAATCAATTTTCAATGGCTAAGAATGAGGCGAAATTCTCGATCAGTGTATATAAAATGGTGATGCTTACATCTGTCCTGGCCAAGTTCTGCAGCATAAGCCGGGATTCCAGGAGCTCTGACTGCTGCTGAGATAGGTATATATCACAGTCAATGGTATTCAAGTATTCTTTTTACATTAAAAATAACATTGTTGTAAAATCAGCTGCATTATTTTATGCTATTTTAGTTCCGGAAAAAAGACAACATAAAGGAAAACTAACAACGACAAACGACAAGATATGCGCCGTTGAGCTTTGATGACACTTGAGATATTCGCTAGATATCTGAATATGAATCTGGATAACAAAGATCTGTGGATTATTGTTTGCTAAACATGTGAAAGGCAATAGATAAGAGATTTGGATAAACACCTCAAAATTAAGCTTCTCCAAATAAGTCTATTTGCGGCTACGTATTTCCAACATCATGTCTGATACTAACAAGCAAATTAACTGTCCGATTTCTAGGCTCTGAAAAAATCCATACTGGTATGAATGAAATATTAACACGGGCCAAATCACTTGCGAGTAAAGTTGTCTCTTTTCCGCAACTAAAATTGCATAAAATAATGCATATGATTTTACACCAATGTTACTTTTAATGTAAAATGAAAACACTGACAATTCACAAAGCACAAACAAACAGAAAAAAAAGACAAACTGAAATATACATAAATTTAAATATACATAATATATATTATGAGAAATGCCTTTATCCACTAGGCGCTATTTACCCTGGGACAATCCGGAATATAGAACTTGTAATCAGCTGCAGAGAGTGCTATTTCTGCTAATTGATTATTTATTCTTGTCAATGTGTTGTGCACAAAGAAATTAGACAGCGGTCTCCATGTGCATCAGTTCTCTCTCGCTCTCTCTCTCTTCCACAATCTCTCTCTCTCACACACACACACACACACTCAGATTCTTTCTCGTTCTCTTCCCCGGCAAGCTTCCCCTCCCACACACACTCTCTCATTCCTTTCTCACCCTCCAACACACATTTTCTTTCCTTCCCTCCCACACACACGCTCTCCCCTATACACATTATCTTTCCCTCCACTTCCCTCTCCCACACATCCTCTTCCCCATTCTCACCTCCATACACTATCTCTCTAACCCATAAAGTATCTGCTTTCACACACACACACACACACACACACACACACACACACACACACACACACACACACACACACACACACACACACACACAATTTCTCATTTCTCTCTCCCAGACTTACGCTCTCTCTTCTCCTGTCTTCCCCAGAAACACACTCACTTACACACACTCTCTCTCTCCCACATAGAGCCTCTCCTTCTCCTCTCTCTTTCTCTCTACGAGTCTCTCTCAGATTCTCTCTCCACCGACACTCTCTCTTACCCCTCTTTCCCACAATTTCACTCTCTTTCTCTCTTTCTCTCTCTCTCTTTCTACAACGCACAAACAAACACATTTTCACTCTCTATTTCATACACATAAATATCTGAAATAAATAAAGTTTAAATACCTTGGAAAATATCTGTGTCCAGTAGCATTCATTGTATGCAGAGCTTTAGGAAATTTCACTTCATTCACCGTGGCTTCAATTTTCTAAACATTGTTGAAGTTTTGTTGTTATTTTTCATTCTTTCCTTATTAACGTCTCCCACACTGCATTTATTTCTACGCTAGGCCTGCAAAAGAAATCCTGATAACTTGTCATATACACTCATTCTTTAAGACGTGTGACTCTCCTGTCTAATTTCTCTTTATGTCTAGCATTTTCACTTCATTCCACATGAGTTAATGATACAATATTTCTAATCATACATGATAATTCATAGTTGAATTCGTTGTCACCTCTCGCCATGCCTTCTTAAGGGATTTTTTTTCTATGACTACTGGAAGAAGCCCAAGCTTCAACATAGATTCTCTAAAAAGACGAGGCGTTAAATTATTTAATACTTTAGTATATTGAAACGTTTCTAAACATACGAAGTGTTCCTCACACGTGCCCTTCGATATAAATATTTTTTAATAAATGAAAGCCTTTAAAACATAACTTTAAGGAAACGAATGAATATATACACCTAAGTAAACCGGTGTACGCTGAAACTGAGTCTGTCCACGAACCTTAAATTAGCTCATTGTTTTTCAGTTATCCGGAAATGTATATTATACAGATCTTTTTAATCATTTAGCCCCGACCAAGGCAGGAGTGTCACTAGTGCGCAGGGAGTTACAGAGAGTGAAAGTAAGAGGAAATAATGGATACAGGGTAATTGAAGAAAAGGATAAAAATGTTCAAGACAACAGAAGATGGCGATTGACGTTGCATTTAAGTTTTTAAAGCTTGTTGTATAATGACAAATATACGCAGGTGTAGGCTTCAAGAAAGCTTTAATCAACTGCGAATACAAGTTTCGCATATAGTGTCCTTTTATAGTCCCAGTAAACAGAAATATATCTCCCAAAGTGGATAGTAACAAAACAAAGGGAGACCACTCTTGATTATTTATGAGATGTAGTTGTCGGGGAAGCATTTAAACGGAAGGGCGTTACAATGAAGGGAAGTGCGAGAAAATAAACTCTTGGAGCAGAATTGGCGGTTATATTTAATTATTTCAATAGGATAATACCAATCTAGTAGCAAGGTTAAATTCATATAGTCGTGCATATTAATGAATCTTGATATTTCTCGTTTTTACTCTGATGAAATTATTGCCGAAGCAATAATTCAGATTTCTCAAGACAGGTATTCAGAACTTTCCAAGTGATAACAACGAGTGCTTGATCTCGAGGAGAACTTGGCACATGGAAATCTTCTTTCCTATACCGGAAAAAAGATAGCGTGGTACAGAGTGTTGAATCTGATTTGCTATTCGAACGATCAGTGCTTAAAACTGAGCCTGAGGTCAGACAAGTCTAATTAACGCTTTCACTGCCTTTGGCAGTTCTTTCTTATTTCTCTGACATACTACGGAGCACTAGGAGGCAGGAATTGTCCTTGATTGCAGGAAATACAGATAAAAGTTAAAGATATATTCAGAAGAACACTGTAGACTGATATATGCACAAATTCATAAGTTAGAAAGAGAGAAAGTTACGACTATCTATCTTTAAATACTGACATTTATTAAAATTATCTCATATCAACGAATTCACGGTCGAATGTGTAGAAGAATTTCGTTCATATGTATATAATGGTTAAAATGTCAGGAAGGCGAATTCTCAGGAAGCGATTCCAATGTACAGAAGCACTGGAAAGTTCCTGAAAACAATACCACTGTTTGAACCAAGCCTTGTAAGTGAAATCGGATAGTTGGAAACGTCTTTGGTTTCTCTTGCACAAAGTTGTAAGTCATCGGGACCAATGTATTGTACGTACTGGCCTGGTTAAAACAGTTCATCGAGCTAGATTATGTTCCATCCCACGTAAATTGCAAATAATCTATGCTCCTGAATTAACTTATCTACACAATCTCAAAAACTCATTGTGCCTGTCGGTACTGTTATAAATCTGTCTCTGCTTTTAGCCTTGCTACTCGACCATTATTCGACCAAAGATGAACTAAGAACAGAAATTCGTGACAACCTTTAGATCAGGTATTTGAGCGTACATTAAACAATTTTTAATCAGGCAAAGCATGCAGATAAAGCTACTAAATCTAAATTGGTATGCTTTCAAATACAATTTTTCATTACTACACACACACACACATATATATATATATATATATATATATATATATATATATATATATATATATATATATATATGGAGTATTGCTGCCATATATGGTCTGGAGCCCCTTATGTTTGCCTCGGGGTTTTGATAGGCTCCAGTGGCGGATATGCAATATAATTGGCCCTGATCTGGCATCTCGTCTACAGTCACTTTCTCACAGACGCGCCGTCGCCTCTCTCTGTTTTACAAATGCTTTCATAGCAACTGCTCCGAGGAGCTCCAATCGCTGGTTCCCAGACTTCATGAGTTCAAGCGTCCTACGAGGCTGGCATCACGGTCTCACACCTTCACTGTCGAAACTTCTAAATGTGGCCGTCTTTTCTACTCTAATAGCTTCATGTCTCGCACCTCTCGCCTGTGGAACTCTCTTCCCTATTCCAGTTTCCCTGAGAGCTATAATCTCCAGCTATTCAAATGTAATGTCAATCGACATCTCCAGTTGCCTTGATCTATCCACTACCCTTCTCCTAATCCTTTCTTCTATCATTCCTATCTGATCTTGCTCCAAATCTTCTGTAACCCCTTGCGTCCTAGTGGCTTCTATATATATATATATATATATATATATATATATATATATATATATATATATATATATATATATATATATACTAGCAGCGTTGCCCGTGCGTGATTCAAAAATCGTACGACTCATACAACAATCGCTATCACTTGACTTAAAATATTTTTTGCACTTCCTTGCCTTTAAAGGAGTGCCCTTTGCCGTGCTGATGTTGCTACATGCCTTACTTCTCGCCTATCTCACACTGCGAATTTTTTTCCAAGCTCTATACTAAACATTAAATCTGTTACAAAAAAATAACTAAACAAAATGAACACAAAACGATCAGCTTAAAAAAAGTATTCGTAACTGGAAAAACTGAATGAAAAAAGAATGTTAACAACATACTTTTTCACACCCAACCCAATTCTGCGGAATAAGAACAAACGTTGAGTTTAAGCAAGCGAATGAGCCAATTGTAGTAAAGTGCCATGTAGACTTAAATTTTTTCTACTTGTGACTAATGCAGCTATCGATTTTTTTTTGCATGCCAGCATGCTAGTTAACATTCGTGTCAGTCAGCTGTTGGCTCTCACGCTGGCCAGTAGAATCTTCCTGCATATTCGTGGCAGCCAGCTATATGCTCTCACTCTTGCCAGTACAAAATGGCCGCAAACTACATGAAAACTGCCTTAGAAGCATGAAAAAATTGATTATTTCCAATATCAAGGGGAGTTGGGAAATGCAACACGATACTGATGACTGGGACAACTCAGGACCGAGAGAACTCAGAACCAGGCAAGCATGACTCTTTTAATAACTGCGTAAAAGTAATTCGTAAATGTTTAAAATTTAATTAGTCAATATTTTATTCAATAAGTTCATTTGAATAGCCATTATATAAGATATGAACTATTTTTTTTTTGTTTTTAATTATTTTTAATAAATAAGCAAGTTTTTAAATTGTTTTTTATAAAATCTTTTAGAATGTCGATTTACTTTATTAAAAATACATGACTACGATTTATTCTATTAAAAAGAATTCAAAACAAACACTTTCATATTGTTTTGCATTTTTCGATTTAATTTATTTAAAAAAATAATTCAAAACCAGTATGTTTTATTGAATTACATTTTTTGTCAACTTACTTTATTAAAAAATAAATTTCTTTACGATTTACTTCATTAAAAATTATTAAAAACAAAAAAAAATCATATTTCATGTTTTACATAATGCCTTGTTTGAAGAAACATATACAATAATTAAGGTTTTCATTATGGGATTTCTGAAAATTACGGGATTACGGTTTCATTAAAAATATGAAATACTAATTGGATATCAATATACTTAAATTAATTATGTAAACCTAATTTACATATGTAATGGAGAAAAAATTAAAACGTAATTTTATATTTATGTTCACACAATACAATGTATATTGTTGCTTGTCTGTTTGTTTATGAGCGAAAAAATCTGGAAATGTGTTCATGAGCATATCTGGAGCATTCCAGGTGACATAGAACCTCAACCAACGTCCTTGGAACAATGCGTTTGATTTATTGGCTTCCTTTTACGTCTTTTCAACTATTAAAGGTTTTTTTAAAGCCAGCAAATATTTGTAGATTATAAGAATTCATTGGAAATCATAATGATTTATTGATAAAAGCTCTACTAATTAACACATAAATGGAGGAAGAAGATTAGAATTCATACATTCCCCAACAGTATTTGCGCGTAAATGAATATAACAAAGCAGACTTGAATTGGAACACGGCTATCTGAGTTATCCATTATACTACCCGCACATCCAAGATTCCTGTATCTGTATTGCCAAGAGGCCACCTGCCTAGGTAATAAACAGGCTCGACGATGCTAAACGTCACTAATCGTTCGAAAAGCGTTGTTGGAAAATGATATAGATGTAAGCCCTGGAATAATGTGCAACGCACCTCTAATTTGGTCATTCTAGATACAATATAAACCACATGTCAGCATGCTACGTATATAGCAATGATGCGAGAATCATCTGTCCATTGAAATGTCTAAAATTAAAAGACTATATTATAATATTAATAATCTGATCGCGCGTCCATGTTATATGAGAATTGAAAGCAAAGATCGACAACTACAATGATTTCGACTAGGTACATACATTTATTTATTGAAAAAAGAGCATAGCAGTATTAAAAAGTCCCCAAACTTCAGGTGAAAAACTGTGATTGAGAAATTCTTGCAAAAATCAAGTAATT